TCCTCGAATGGTAGACCGGTGAGTACGTTGGCCTGTTGGAATGTGACGTTTTGTGGCTTTATCTCCGACGGATAGAGGGGGGCTATGTCTATGCCTGTGAACTTTGGGTTTTGATATTCGGTAGCCATTTCCAGAATCCAGGCACCCGAGCCGCATCTAGTTTTTGAAACGATCTTAGATTAAAACGGTGAATAGAAAAATGACTACATGGATTCTAGACTGACGTGAGTACATACCCGATATCCAACACCTTGGTGTCTTCCTTATGCAGCAGATCTTCCATGGGAGACGAAAAATTGCCGTCCCAAACATGTTTGTACATGAAGTGTTGCATTTGAACTCTATCAATTTCATCCTCGTCAACCGGATAGATATAGTCGATTTCATTCGAATCACCTTTACAATATTTTCGATCACCGATGTACTGAAATATATCGAAATCCGTTGATCGACATTGTAAGAAGAGGCTCTCTTGCGAAGATGAAGGGGAGGGGCACTGTGTGACGCCGTTCATCAAGGAACTAGATGACGAGTCCTGAGACGTGGTGGAACTGGCGCTGGATTTTTGACGCGAGCGTTTAGAACGTCTTGATGTCGGAGTTGTGGGAGATGAGGGATTTGAGGCGGAACGAAAGGATTTGGAATTAACTTTACCCATTTTTTTTTTGTATGTGAGCAAATAAATAAATAAATTTCTTATGAAATGTTCTTTTGTATGTGTTTGAATTGGATGAATGAATATATATGGAATAGCAAAATATATAATAAATAAATAAATAGGTATATATGTATAAATAAATAGGTAAATAGAATTCGCGATGGTAGTCTATTACAATTCTAAGCGAAAGAAATTCGATCAACGAAATATATATATATATATATTGGAGACACACCGTAATTTTAAATTGCAATCTAATGGACTTTTTTCTTATTCCTCTCACGCACACAAAAGGAAAAGTCCGATAAAGATTGTTGAAAAAATTTTTATCGAAGATGAATGGAGAGGAAAAGAAAATTTTTTGCACGGCAAAAAGAAAATGCAGTCTCTTTATATAGTAGGAATCCCGGTTAATCGTAAGATTTTAAAGATTTCCTTTGTAACAACAATTAGCCGGAATTATGGAACAGTATTTAATTACCTATATGATACCTTGTTTCTTGTGCACAAATTCGGCGTACAATCTTTGTTATTCCTGTTTTCCTAACTTGGAAATAGCTGAACAGAGGCGTGTTTTGTGTGACAAACCATGGATCACACAGATAGTGATTTGATGTATTTGTAGTAATAAGTAGTCTGTTTTATGTCAATTACCACTAATTCTTAAAACCTAGTAATTTGACCTTCAATAATCCACCACCTTATCATCACCTGTTTAATCCGTCCGAAGCTCGCATGCTGCAGCCGAGCAATTCTAGGTATCATTATTTACCCCACCAACTTAATTTCCAAGTTTGGCATGACAAGAACCTTAAATTTCCAGAGTTGGACTTCAAGAATGGCCAATAAACGACAATGAGACCGCAAATGCGTTTATTTAATAATTGAGCATTATTTCTCGCATCTATGAAAATAAGTTTACTTTTTCACCCATGAAAAATTACTAAAAAATGCACTGAAGCGCATTTGAATTGCGCGTGGCACAGTATGTGCATTAATTAAATACAGTGCATTATCCGTCAAAGGTTATGCTTGCCATAGACGTTTCAGCCGACCCACCTCGATTGATTACTTAAGTGTGAAACATCCCCTAACGCTTTTCTATTTAGATGGCTTTTATTCTAAACCATAAAAATATCATTCGGTCTCATTGGAGGGCAAGCGTTGTTAAGATGATTAGTAATCACGCATGGTAGATGAATACTTATCAAGAAAAAAAATTTTTTTTCTACCGGGATCACATGACACGTGATACACCGCAACCGTTTTAAGCAGAAGAAGTAAGTACGCAAGTGACCCGGATCTTAAAAAAGTTCGTAGGACGCGAAGGATGCGTGTGGAATATCTTCTTGTCACTATGGTTTAATCCCCAAATTAATTAGTTTAGAGCGTAGCACATACCGTATGTAATGTATGTAGCTTGACGCACAAAAAACTTGCGCTAACTTTAACATAAGTCAGCTCAAGTTATTTGTTCCACCTGCCGGTTGTTCGCTAATTTTAGGGTTTGTCAATTACATAATTTTTTTTTCTTTTCGATTTCTAAAAACGAGGAACAGCAATTGTTCGCGCGATCACCAGGGCTGATCTTGCGAGAATTAAGACAGGTTAAAAGAGAAAGGCATTGTTAAAGTTCGCGTAATTCACACAAGGTCATCCGGCAAAAGCGTTCCTCTCGGATAGAATATACTGGATCCGTGATGCAATGTGAACGTTGTGGAAATAAATGTCACCTTAGATTGGTCAATTTCGGTGACAATGGTGATGACCAAAATCCCTACTACTGTATTTGATCAGCAATAATGGTAATTACTGCAAGTACCATTACTTCGTTCGGCTATGGAACGGAACGGATTTATTATTACGACAAAGGAGTCATACGATAAATGAGGTTAAGATATTAAGCTGCATCACTATGTCACTCTTCTTTATCTAAATTTGTTGAACAAATAATTCCTATACCATTATCAAACCTTAAGCCATGATAATTATTTTTTGCTTTTTGCTTGCATCAATGTTTACAGCTTCGTTATTTTTTTGCACATGTATGCAATCAAACAAAACATTGTAAATTGTCAATCCTTATCACCTATCTGTCATGTCACTCGGGCTTGCATATTGAGGCCAATAAAAGTCAAAGATTTACTTTTGTGCCATTATCCAAAGTTTATTTTATTTTTTTTCTTTGTTGTCCCATAATAGCAAATTGCTACCATGGTTGAACACGAAAAAAAAAACAACTCGATATGCTATTAAAAAATCATCAATTTGAAAAAAATGAAGTCGAACCACTATTCCATATCCATGAATTCGAATCATTCTGATGTTCCTATCAATGGAACAAGGATTCAACTTGACAAAGAGCCAAACAAAATACGGACGAATCATGTGCGTGCAAAATGACATCAGGAAAATAAGGTTATACTGTTCACCAAGATCTCTTTAATACTTACCACTATTTTGGTTATCGATGATTAGATTCGGAAAAAGAAATCGGCAATTCTGACCCTAAATCACATGGGATTCTTTTTTGCTAACGTGTTCGACAAATATCGTATAATTGTCCACACAACACGTTTTATCTGTACACTGTATACTTGCTTAAACCATGTACTTTTTTTTTTTTCTTTACTTCGTTTCACACAAACTTGGCACAACCGGTAATTAAGGTTATCAAGAGTGAAGCCGGTTTTCGAACATGGACAACCTTTCTTGTGACCCAAGATAATGGCTGATTCAATCATTCTTTTTGTCGTAATTATAAAATTCAAAAAAAAACTTCACCATGCCATTTTTATCTTGAGTTACGGTAAATTACGAGTTACCATCATACTGTATATACAGTACATTTAATGATTAAATTTTATGAAACTTAAATTATCGTTTTTTTTTGCAATTTTCATTAATGTCAAAATACGTAACAAAGATAGTTTTTTTAATACAACGTGTTGAAAAATTTCCACCGATTTTTTTTTTTATATACCTATGTCATGATGCATATCGGCTTCTAGAAAAATAAGTCTTTATGGATTGCAATAGGCAAATAGCAAGTCTGTTACTAATGTTATCATGTTAATCATTATTGATAATTAAGGATAAAAGGTAAATGATGAAACATTCTATATTATTGGATTAACATCTTTTGTTTATTTTCATTTGTTTTAAATTTTTTCTGTTATTATTATTATTATTTTAACTTTATAAAATCAATTAGGCACATGAACGATAACAAATAGAAAAATAGAAAATCATAAAAGATTTACATATTGATTTTCACAATGTTTTTTGTTATTTGTCATATTTTATAATCATCAATTAGTGATACAATAATTACTGTATTACTAATATTATTTGTTACTTATCTATTTATCATTTATTATATATTATAAATATATTTAAAAAAAAACTCTTTCTCAATCGCATCAAAATTACCAAATTAGGAAACACTCAAGAAAACAAAAATTTCGTCTCAAG